TATCCCTCCCTCTATCCTCTTCATCCAGCCCTCCTTCCCTCCTCACTATTGCTAACAATGAAAAATATTTCTCTTCCACACTTAAACTTTCTGTTGAAATGTGGGTTTTTGTTCATTGTTAATAATTAACAAGTATCAAACATTTATATGTTCAATTAATGCTTTCTTAATTGAATGAGCAACAGATCTTCCAAAACATAATGAACATGGGGGATAAACACTAAAAAAACCTAGAACATGTCATGAATTTTACTGAATAATGAGAATTATAACCAACATAGAGTCATGCACTTAACAGGAAGAACCTCAGAGAATAGATGGAGACAGGGATTCAATTGAGGCACTTGAGTTTTTCTGAAAATAGTGGGGAAACAGAACTGATATATTTTATTTCATTTGTTACAGGAATACAGTGAATTTAACAACTTTGAGGGGACAACTGGAAACTATTGATGTGAATATGCACACTTTTGTAACAGAAAAATGGATACATAAAGATATATAATATATAAAGAAAATATTTCAAAAAGTAAAATGAGACAAAGGTTATCACACAATAAAAGTGTCTTTAGCACTTCACTTCCATCAGCTGATTGTGAAGAAACAAAATGAGGGACTGGATTGTTCTGGTTTCCATCTGTGCCCAGAGCTGATCCTGTGCCACACCTCTCCATACCCATATCCCGCCAGGAGAGAGCAGGTCTTCCAGGATTGCTGACACATCTGGGAGCACAGGTAAGACCACAGCTTCTGCTCAAATACCTGGCCCAAGAAGGATACTCTCAGAGACCTCAAGACACAGGAACCAAGGAACAGACTTGACCAGAAAAAAAATTCCCCTAGTCACATAATAGTCAAAACACCAAATGCACAAAACAAAGAAAAAAACACTTTAAAAAGTAAGCCAAAAAGATCAAGTAACATATAAGGGCAGACCTATTAGAATTACACCAGACTACTCAACATAGCTTTCAACTATGAAAGCTAGAAGATCCTAGGCAGATGTCATACAGATCTTAAGAGAACAGAAAGGTCTGTCCAGACTACTATACACAGCAAAAGTCTCAATCACAATAGATTGAGAAACCAAGATATTCCATGATAAAAACAAATTAAAACAGTATCTTTCCACAAGTCCAGTCCTACAAAGGATAATAGATTAAAAAACTCTAACACAAGGATGGAAACTACACCTGAGAAAAAGCAAGAATGAAATCTTGCAACAAAGCCAAAAGAAGATAGGCACACAAACATAATTCAACTTCTAAAAACAAAAATAACAGGAAACAACAACCAATTTTTCTTAATATTGCTTAAGATCAATGGACAAAATTCCCCAATAAAATGACATAGACTAACAGACTGGATACTAAACAGGTCCCAGCATTTTGCTGAATACAGGAAATGCACCTCAGTGAAAAAGACAGACACTACTTCAGAGTAAAAGTACAGACAAAAATTTTCCAAGCAAATGGTTTTTAGAAACAAGGTGGAGTAATCATTCTAATATGGAATAAAATCGACTTTCAACCAAAAGTTATCATAAAAGATAAGGAAGTACCCTTTATATTCATCAAAGGAAAAAACTACCAAGGTGTACTCTCAATTCTGAAAATCTGTGCTCCAAATGCAAGGGCACACACATTCCATTCATAAAAGGAACTTTTCTAAAACTCAAAGCACACATTGCACCTCACACAATAATAGTGGGAGACTTTAAGACTCCACTCTCAGCAATAGATGGATCATGGAAAGAGAAACTAAACACACACACAGTGAAAGTAACAGAAGTTATGAACCAAATGGACTTAACAGATATCTGTAGAACAATTCATCCTAAAATAAAAGAATATAGCTTCTTCTCAGGACCTCATAGTGCCTTCTCCAATATTGGCCATATGATTGGTGACATAAATGGCCTTTATAGATACAAGAAGATTGGAATAATCCCATGCATCCTGTCAGATCACCAGTAATCAACACTAGTTTTCAATAACAACAAAAACAACAGAAAGCCCACATACACAAAGAAGCTGAAAAACAATCTTCTTAATGATAACTCCTTAATTCCTTCTTGGTCAAGGAAGAAATAAATTAAATACTTTTTAGAATTTAATGAAAATGAAAGCACAACATACCCAATCTTATGGAACACAATGAAAGCAATGCTAAGATGAAAATTCTTAGTTCTGAGTACCTCCAACAAGAACCTGGAGAGACCATAGACTAGCAGCTTAACAGTATACCTGGAAGCTCTAGAACAAAAAGAAGTAAATACACCCAAAAGGAGTAGATGGCAGGAAATAATGAAACTAAAGTGTGAAATGAATCAAGTAGAACCAAAAAAAAAAAAATATACAAAGAGTCAACAAGACCAGGAGCTGGTTTTCTGAGAAAGTCAACAACATAGATAAACCCTTAGTGAGACTTATCAGAGGGCACCGAGACAGTATCCTAATTAACAAAATTAGAAATGAAAAGGGAGATATAACAACAGAAACTGAGAAAATTAAAAAAAATCAGAACCTACTATAAAAAACTATACTCAACACTACTGGAAAATCTGGATAAAATGGACAATTTTCTAGACAGATAACAAATACTAAAGTTAAATCTATATCAAATAACTCATTTAAACAGTCTCATAGCCCCTAAAATAATAGTTCCAGTCATTAAAAGTCTCCCAATCAAAAAATGCCTATGACCAGATCAGTTTAGTGCAGAATTCTACCAGACTTTCAAAGAAGACCTAATACCAATACTCTTCAAACTCTTCCACAAAATAGAAACAGAAGGAACACTACTCAATTAATTCTATGAAGCCACAGTTATGCTGATACCTAACCACAGAAAGACTCAAGAAATAAAAAGTACTTGAGACCAATTGTCCTTATGAATATTGATGCAAAAAAACTCCATAAAATTCCCAGAAACAGAATCCAAGAATACATCAAAACAGTCATCCATCATGATCATGTAGACTTCACTTCAAGAATGCAGGAATGGTTCCATGTATGGAAATCCATCAACATAATCCACTACATAAACAAACTCTGTTCGGGTTGAGCTGCTGCTCTGGTCCATGGATCAGGGTCTAGCAAGAGAGAGAGTGAGGATGGAGGGGAAAGAGATGCAAAGAATGGCGAAAAGACAGAAAGTCTGATCAAATCTCCTTTATTGAAGGAAATCTTGGGTATTTATATGCTTTTTCATGTGTCTTGCCCTTGTGGACAAGCAGGGGAACACAGATGAAGCCACTTTGCCACGTGCCTTGCAGCCATGAATACCACATGTGCCTTGCAGCTGGGGGCACTAAACAGCAAAACAAGATATATGAGAAAAACAAGATGTTTATCAGAGTGTGCTCAGCTGTTGTGGGCTGTTGAAAAATAAGTCTCTTGTCAGGGTATATGGCTTGAGATGTGTGCAAAGATGATAGCTGCTTTCTGCTAGGAGTTGGCTCCCAACAAAACTCAAAGGAAAAAAACATATGATTATTGAATTAGATACTAAAAAATCATTTGATAAAATTCAACATTCCTTCACATTAAAAGTCTTAGAAAAAAATCAGGGATTCAAGGCCCATACATAAACATAGCAAAAGCAATATACAGAAAGGCAGTAGCCAGCATCAAAACTAAATGATGAGCTACTTGAAGCAATCCCACTAAAATCAGGTACTAGACAAGGTCCAATCTATCTCTGTCTATTCAACATAGTGGTTTTTAACCCACCAGAATCATTTGACTAAGTCAAAAATCTGATAGTTCCTTCTATCTTGTATATTCCCTTACAGCAGGATAGTCTTCTGTTAATCCAGTATGTCCTTTAAATATACTATTAAAAATAGAGACTAAATACATTAGAAAAATCACGTACAATTTTAAATATTTGAAAAGAAATTCATTCAATGGAGACATACATGTGGTCTGACCTTAGACATCTGGGGACACTGGCCTTGTGCTAAGTGTTGGGATGAGTAAGTCTTGCATCTGTGCCCAGCAATAACTGGTTCCTAATGATTTCCATGCTCTCACTGCACAGCCTTGGCCTTCTTCATATACAAGCCACATCATATGCCATTGTCATTGCAATCAGGACTCAGGATGGACATGGTGGCCCCTGCTCAGTTTCTTGGGTTCTTGTTGCTCTGGTTTCCAGGAAACATGAAATAAAATGGGGATTTCACTGTAATTAATATTGACTGGCATTTGGAGGATGTCCTCTTTTATCATTCTTACCTATGTGGATACTCATTATGTCTCCACTCCTGGGTGCCAGATGTGATATCTAGATGACCCAGTGTCTATCTTCCATGTCTGCATCTCTGGGAGAGATAATCACCATCACCTGCCGGGCAAGTCAGGACAGTAGCAGTTATTTAAGCTGGTACCAGCAGAAGCCAGGGAAATCCCTTAAGTCCCTGATCTACTATCCAACCAAACTGGCAGATGGGGTCCCATCAAGGTTCAGTGGCAGAGGATCTGGTTCAGATTATTCTCTAACTATCAGTAACCTGGAGTCTCAAGATATGGCAATCTATTACTGTGTACAGTATGATGAGTTTCCTCCCACAGTGGTACAAGTAACAACATAAACCCCATGGACACAGAAGTGAGAGGCTTGGCTGCCCATCTGCTTCTCCTTATGAGTCACCCACTCTAAATATTTTCTAGATGCTACAGGGCTCTCTGAGAGTTTGGGGTCATGTCAGGTGTCATCTTAGGTATGCTATGCCCTCCTCATGCATTATGGTCTCAGACATGTGGTTTTAACGGGATAGCTCCCTATATGGGCCCCATGGTACTTGTCTGGTGGTCACCTTGGGCTCATTCCCCACCTTGTCCACCTGAGCAGCCCTCTGAACATATTTTCTGTTTCAGGCTCACTCATGCTAATGGACCTCATTATAGGCAGGGTCCCTTTAGTCACTGGCTTCCCATCCAGGAAGACTGACTGCCTCATGCAGTCAGGCTGTCTTAGGCTTACTTATCTTGGGGAATGTTAGGCTACTGATCATTCAAATATTCATTGGTCAGGACAGTGAGCTGAGCATAGACATAGCCTCTCTCTTGACTGCCTACTACTGACACTCGTATGACACACAATACACATCTGCAATGCCTGTGGGAAGCAGGAGTGCACCACAGTCTTAATCACTCTAATTTTATATAACAGAGAAGAATAAAGTCAGAAGTCTAGGGTTCCAATTTACCTAGTTATGCTGTCCTTTGTCTAACTCCATAAATTGTAGACTGAGTTTACCAGCTTTTGAAACTCTTTCAGGAATATTATATGCATTACAATGAGTTTATTAGCAAATTGGAAATAATATACATTTAAATCTTGTTTATTGGACTGAAGAGAAAGCCCAGTGGTTAAGAGCATTTGTTTATGTTGAAAGGGACATGGGTTTGATTCTCATCCCCCATATAGTGACATATTTCTTTCTTTCTTTCTTTCTTTCTTTCTTTCTTTCT